GAGGGGGCGAGGAAGGGAGAGTGCCCTCAGGGCGAATTCCCATCGAGCATCGGCCGCTGCAGAATCCAGAGGTGCGTTCACCGGGGAAATCCCTCCCCCGGAGATTATCTTCTCAAAGAAAACTCGACGACTCCACGCGCTTCAGTTTAACCGTTCAACCGGGTGTCCGTCGGTTTACTTCAGCGAACAGTAGAAAATCGTCTAATACCGGAAACAATGGCGATATTAACCTTTTGCAGTCGACAGGCGAGTCTGAGTTGACACTTCGATGCAGCAGAATTATAAAGTTATGTTAACCCTTTGCACTCGAGAGACAATTCTCAGTCGCTGTTTGTTTTGGTGTACCGAAATTGTAGAATTTAACCTTTTGCACTCGTATGTAATGCTAAGGATGGCAATACAAATTCGTTATAGAACGTTGGAAATCATTTGAAAAAGTACCACACCTGAAAAGATTGTAAAAATTAAATCTTATTATAACAATAATAAATAAAATAAATATAAAACGTTGAATTCTACCCCTGTAGATTATTTCAATTCATATCCCTAAAAATAAATACAAGTTTACATCTAACAACATTGAAAATAAATCGAATGAGAAGGGTTAATATTTCGTATTAAACGTTCTGTGTAACGTATAAATATATGGAATATTAAAGTAAAATGTGTTTTCTGATTTTCGTATGACTTCTCTTTATGGTAGTTGTGAAAGATGTTATTAGTATTTTAAAAAGTGAGGGTTAACGGTTAAGGGTTAACAAGTCGATTGCTATGAATTTTGGGTATTTTGTGTATCATTTATCCCTTTGTAATGAGGATAAGTAGAAACAATTGTTCGTTGTTTGGTGTTAGATTCTTAGGTTGCACTGTTGTCTACTTATTTACGATATTAACCCTTTACACCCGAGGGGTGACCCAGTCGTCGTATTGTTTGATATATTAATGTAATTGGACATGAAATATTGAAATAAAATAATTCTATTCATTAATTCGTGTAGTATTTATAGAAGTTTAATATAAACAATTATTAAATTAGTATTTCAGTAGAAAATTATGCATATACCTAACAAATAAATTTTCGAATGTAAGATACTAAACAAACCTATTCGACGTCTATTATTTTAAATACTGTAATTGTTTACAAGTGATTCAGAAACTCCGGTCATCAGTGATCATCGTGGCAATCAACAAGCTGACACTAGAACTACTGTAGATAGATGTCAAAATGACGAGTTTTAGTTTCCTTATTTTGCGATTATTGATGATTTTAACATAACCCCAATAAATGCTTGATAGTTCTAGTGTTAAACTTCGTATAATGCATCGATATGTGGAATACTCAAATCAAATACCTTTGTTCCTTGATTTACACGTGATATCTCATTAAGTTAACTTCAGAAAATTCCTTCTGTATTTCGTCAGAAAATATAAAGTATTCCTAGTGGAAAACTTACGATAGCAAAGGGGTAACGGTAATGGGACATGATCAAAATAAAGGGAGGTGGAAGAGATTTTAATGATATTGTGTGTAACTAATTTATACGATTATTATATTTAGCTTTTTGTGCAGAGGATTATATATATAGTGTGATGTATTGGTAATTTATACACTTTTAATAAGTGCAACTTTTGTATTAGTAATAAATTTTGCAAATTTTTATTTGTGATTACATTTCGAATTGGATGTATGTTTGAACTGTTTCTGAATCTTCGAGGAAGCTTCTGGTATTTGTTTAAAATAAGAATATAATGCTAACACTTAACTGGCTGGACAAGTACAAATTCCTGTTTAGACTTTCTTGTAGACTGAAGTAATTTCTAAGTTACTAATCATGGCAATTATCAATATCTTTATTTAAATTTATATTTTCTCTGGGAAGGATCATATGGTAGCAGAATTTGTAATTCATCTCCTTTTTCAAACTTACAAAATATTTCCGACCATCGACGAAAATTCCGAGATATATTTTTCCACGATTTATACCAGGTCTATTAATGTCTATTAATTTACCGATTTTATAAACTACTACTTATTTTTTTTACGTGATTACATTAACAGCAAAATTATTATTGACTACCAACAGTTTTATACATAATTGTTTATTGAATAATGTAAGTACAGTGAATACAATAATTATACAAATAAACAAAGTATACAAACTACTATTGTAAAGTTTCTACACTACAAATACTTGTATAAGAATGGTATTTTCGAATGCGACTGTTTTATTTTTCAGTAGGCAACAATGTGAGAAAATTATCTTCATTTTGACATAATAGTTTGCACAAGTATGTAAAGGGCAAGGTGCAAATTACAGCTGTTGTTGTTGAATGTCCGAGGATCGACACCGAAATTGAAACCGAAGCACATAACCGGTTACATTACGGCCATCTCTCACAGACCGTAATTGTGAGAGGACCAAAATTCTGATCGTAATGTACCATGAGACTTTCCTTTCCGGTCACGTTTCTGACCATAATTCCGCAAGTATGGTATTCAGATCGTAATGTTCTGCAAAAGATTTCATTTTTGGTTACAAGACCGTAAATTCTGTGAAAACTATATTTTATCTGGACCGTAACGTTCATGAGATCTGTTCCAATCTCAGTTTTCTGATCGAGGTTCTTAAAACTTTAGGTAAAAAAATATTTCCAAAATCTGAGCTTGGAATTAACTCTCCTAGATGTGTGCCTTGCTGTAAAATACACGTCTACTTATAAAATTATTTATAAAATAAGTTAAGAAGAAGTAAACTTAAAATTTAACTCTATTCAACTAGCAATTGGACAATTTAAAGTCGAAAGTTAATGAAAGTCTATACATTTTGAAGAATCATTTTCATAAATCTACTGATATTTCCAAATTGAAATTCACTTATTTCTTTGACGTAATATTCTTAAATAAAAGGTAAATGTAAAGTATTCCAAAGTTTAAAAAATCAAATCTTGTCAGTTCATTTTATGTGTAGAAATTTAAAAAATCTAAATCTTAGAAATTAAAACCTTAATCTTAAAACCCGTACAGGAAATTTACGAGAAACTTTCATAGAGTTCTTTTATCGAGTTTCAAAATTCCTTCATCGAATGACAAAAGACAGAAAACGTTCACGTGATTTTCTATTAACAATATGTTCGAAGCATTTACATAAATAGATAATTTACACCACAGAGTTTCTAGTTCTGGGACTCCCCTTAATGATCTACAAAAATAAATATTCTATTAAACGTTTCCAAACTGCTAAAACCATGTCAAATTACTTGAAAACTAGAATACCTATGATTCTCTATGATAATTACAATTTTCTACGAATGCTCCTTTACTTATGAAAATATTCTAAATATACACTTGGAAACCTTGAGCACACGTTCAATTGTTATCATTGCTAGTTTTGATTTCTTTTCAGTTTAATAAATACTATACTTTCTCTTGGTAAATCAAATTCAACTTCTACACTGAAGGAATCAATGACTGCGTGGAAAAGTACGAAACTACCTCGTTTTCACCTTGCGGCTGACTGAACTCTTAAGTTGTCACGAGTCTCGCATACCATTATGTAACTCGGTAAGTTTAACAGATGAAGTAGACAGCTCTGTTAATTTGCTTTTCTTTCCTCCTTCTAAACAGTACATTTACGAATCGAGCAAAGTACTATCACTTTACAAAGAAATGTCTACTGCACAATTTAAGGAACATTTAAGGAAATTTTCCTTTCGTTATCATTCCATTATAAATTTCCAGTCTCTATGTCTTCTTATGAAACAATTAAGACATGAATATTCGTTTGATAAAAAATTCAAGTCATATAAAGAACAAAGCTATATACTCATTGTAAGAACAAAGAACAACTTTTTAATAGCTAGTTTTTAATTGTTTTTGATAGTTTTGAATAGTTTTGAATAGTTTTGAATATTTTTTAATATATTTTAATAGTTTTTAATCATTTTTAATAGTTTCTAATTTAATATTTAATAATATTTTTCGTACAAAATTGTTGTAAAAAGTTCTTTTACCGGTAGCAACAATAAAATGTCTATACACATGAGTCGAATTTTTATAAAGCAGTGGCAAAGTCAAACGAAGTTACAAACAATACTTTGTTCACACCAAAAATTCATTTCCAAATTATCTTGTAGCTTGAATAAAAATTCTTAATTATTCAACTCCAAAAACAAATAGTTTACATTATGTCCTTCGCAAAGAATTGCTTCAATCTAAACAAAGTGTTTCGGCAACGGGAAACGATTAGCAATAAAATGTTTCAGTATTTCCTTCAGTCCGTACACAACATATAAAAACATAAAAATATTTAAAAACCAGACAAATTCACTATTGGATATCTGCTCCAAAACTACACTGTACAAAGTTATTTGTTCAGGCTACACAGACCCGAATAATCAGATAATTAAAGGCCGCAACTAATTCGAAAGTCTGGGAAAATGGGGTAGAATAGTCAGCGGCAGATGACAAATTCAGACGCGCGAAGTACCGATCAGTCATACCGTAACATACGACATATCTCTTCCCAGAAATCATCTCCAAGCGATCTACCGGTGAACGGGCGTCTCTCTTTTTCTCTTTCTCTCCTCGTCGAGTCGGGTCGGTCCCTTGTGTGTCCCTGTTGCGTTAGTTGGCCAGGTCGGTGCCAGGGAGTCTACCGGCGATAACCAGCTGCGTGTCGCACCGGTAGACTGCTTGCTGCCTCCGGCTGCTCCGGGAACTCTGGGACCGGTTATACTTGACCCAGCGGTTTACACGCGCTTGCCGCCGCCAGCACCACCACCGCCGAGGCCAGATCGCACCGCTACCGAAACACGTACCTACATTGTCTGGACAAACTCCAGCACGCTCTCCTCTCTTGCTTGCCGTTTCCCCCTCCTCTCTCACTTATTCATTCGCTGCCACACATATACACATAACTAACCGGACCGATACACGTTACCTCAATCCGCTTCATCCCACTCTTTCCTCCTCGCATTCGAATATTTTTACGCTTATTTTTACATACGAAGAAGTTAACGACTTTTTTCTATAGTTATTAGAGCGACCCTTACGAATGGGGACCCAAAGCAGACCCCGTTGCGCAGGAGATCACGCGAGGAATACGAGGAATTAGATATTTGTCCACGTTAGGATACTTTGGAGCAGAAAATATGTATCACTTATTGATTTAAACGAAAAAACGGTTGGAATATTTCTGTTTAATTGAACGGGTTTCGTGGTCATTATAAAATAGTTTTTATAATTGGACGATACACTTATGGTAGCGTGAACATACATACATGTATCTAGCAATAAGACGCTATTTAAACATGGCGAGAAGAATTGTCTTTCATAATATGTGTAGATCCGTGAGAACACTGCTATACTTTTGTCAATGGAGAGTTAGAAGTTTTGTAAAGTAACTTAAAACTATGTACAACCGTAATGTGCTTTTAATGGTGACCGTTTACTTTACGTATTTTTCCATAAATTTACGATGAAATTCACTTCTTAATGAATCATTTATAAATACGTCGTGCTTCTTTTTTGGTTCGGAACGGGCACAGTTCTTGAACACGACATCGTCGTCCCACCGTCGCCTAACTTTCATGTCCGTTCGAGCACTTTGAGAAGAATAATTTAACAGAGGATTACCAGAAAGAATATTTTCCATTCTTATTCTTTCTTCTTCTTGCCTTTTCTCCATTTCCTGTAAAGTGTAAAATATATTATTATGTTGGATAAGTAAAATAAGAAATGTGGATTTAAATAGTTAATTCAGTTACATAAATAATTATAGTATGTAAAAATGAAGTAAATAACAATCTGCGATAACATGGAATGTTAATTTTTTCTTTAATGCCTTTCTACACTTTTCGGGACAAACTAAGGCAAGATAATGCATAATACAACAAAAACCAAACCTTTTTAGCCTGCTCTGCAGCTCTTTCTTTCTTGATACGTTGTAGCTCAGCTAAAAGAGCAGCAGTATCATCTTCATCACTTTCAGAATCTGAATCATCATCATCTAATGGATCATCTGCGTCTAAACTAGCTGTTGGAACTTGATCAATTTTTTGTCTTTTAGCACTTGTCGTGGAAGTTTCTCTAGCTGGTTCTATCATGCGTCGATTGGAACTTTTGTCTTTTTCTCTTTCACGTTCACGGTCTTCCAATTCCTTGCGAAAATCACGATTTCGCAATTCTTCAATTGTTCCTTGTCCATGCTCTCTAAAACCAATACATATATATATATATATATATATATATATTTAAATGTATGACAACATATACATAAAATTACGTTTAATTACATATCAGGAAATTCATATAATTATTTTCATGAATAAGGTTACCTTCAATTGGTTACTAAACGAAAATTACAATTATGTTTATAAAATTGCAATATAAAGACGTCTATTCTTTGAAAATAATATAAAATAAAACAAATACCTGTATTTTAACTTTGTATGAGACGGTAAGTCTCTACTACTGTATTGTTTTGATATTGCACTTAAATCCTTTTCACCACGTCCTTGTCCTCCTCTAGCAGGCTCAAAAGTTGGTCTTGCAGCCGTAGTCATATTTCAATGAAACTGTAGAAAATACTGTCCAATCTATGATTATGTTTCTTTTTTTCTTTAAACAAAATTTACAAAAGTTTTTCAAAACACAGCTGATCACTCAATAAATTATGCACTTTTAGTTGTGTTATATACCATATTCTCCACTAGAGGTCCTTCGCGTAAAGCATCAGCTGCTGAAACGATTCGATTGTGACAGTATCGCAATATTCTAAACTCAATTTAATTATAATTATTACCATTCATTATGTAACGTTGCAAAAAAAATAATTTCATCAAAATATTACGGGAATAAAATTAAAATATTAATTTTTTAAAAATGTAATACATTTAGATTTTTAACTTATGTTGAAAAATTAAAACAGTTTAATAAGTAAATATATAGGTGATTAAAAAAGGTAATAATGGTGTTTTTAATATATTACAGGAATATGTAATAGAATAAATATTTCCCAAGTTATTTGTCATTTTATTGTTTTAGTCACAATGGCATATTTCTATAATGGCTATACATCAGTAATAACATCAGTGTACTTGAAGCTTTAAGCTATGTGACTATATTCAATATAATAAAATGTGAAATAATTCTGTGAATACATTTTCAACTTATCATTCTATTATGATTGATTTAAATTAAATAAAGTTATTGCATGTACATTTTACATGAAAAGAAAATTGATTAACAGTGTCAATATAATGTTCAACTAAAAAATTGTCACTTTACAAATACATGCATACTTATTGAATATAAATTGATTCCACAAATTATCTTTTACATTTTTAATGTTACATTTCAGATTATTTTAATATTTATTCCAATGATGACATTCGTATTACTTACAAACATAATAGCAACACTTATTTTCATGCACCACTCGCTTCAATTATTTAATTTAAACACATGTTGTGCTCTTCTTCTTTCACACGCATACATAGTTACTATAGTTTTTACTCTTGATTACAAAAGTTTATGTTAAATGTAAACTGTTGATGTCATACACTTTGTACGATGTAGTGTTTATCATAGTCAGACTTTTTACTGATATTAAAACTGTAGCCTTTATTTTAAATATATTATTGGACAGCATTCCAACTTTCATTCATTAAAACCTTTACAAGTAAATAGGCAGTGTACTTGAGAACGTATTCATTTTAATTTTGGAGATAAGATTGGAATCATGTAAAAATTTTCCTTTAAGTATTTTCCTGACCAATAACTGAAGAGTATGTAAATGTACATGTACATATGTATATAATGTATATATTATAGCATGAGGCAATAGTTTTCAGTAGTTTTTTTAAATATACTTTATGCTAAAATAGTTTCCAGAATTGAATAATTCTACAAAGAAATGATAATGTTTTTACAAAGAAATGTAATAAAATGCATAGAAATTTTCGATAAGTTTAAAAATTTTCTTTTCTATAGCATATTTGAAATGGCATCTGACCCTCGATTTACGCGACACTTTTTTACACGAGTCTTTGTTACGCAATAAATTATAACACTCTTTCCACGGTAGTTTTTATGCACTATCTGAAGTTAGTAACAGCAAATAAAATGTACTTTTATTTTCTAAAATATTATTATTATTATTTCGTTTGTTATGCTATGTGAAATAAATATATATTTCTAAACATATACCAACTTTTCTTTTCAATATTTTGTTTTCTCTTGTACTGACAGACTGTACGCAATTTTCATTCGCGTAAAACAAATCCATGTGAAACGGATTTTCGCGTAAATCGAGAATCAAGTGTACACATAAATTAAGTATAGCATATACCTCATTTACTTTTAGAGAGCTTTGTGAAAGTATCTACATTGTTTGAAGTCACACTTAAAAATAATAATAAAAACATATTCTTCAGTTGTAATATTAATATAAACTTGACATAAATTGTATCTATTTAATTTTCTGGATTATTAGTGATTACAATTCATTAATTAAAACAAATAGTAATATTTATTTCAAAATATCTCGGCGTTTCTAAACGCAAATTATTTGCACTACAGCTACAAAGTGCAGTCTAAATAAAAGAAATAATATGCCATGGCACAAAAGTTCTACCATTTGTTTTAGTTAGATATTATTCTTATTTTAAAGTTTGTCAGTTTTGTAACTAAATGGTATTATCATATACGTCAAGTCAAATATGTTTAATGTACATTCGGTAATATATAGTTATTACTCAGCCTTTTTCTTATAGCATTATGACAATAAACAGCTGTACACTGATTTTTTATATTAATCATTTCATACTAATCAAATTACAAATTTGCAAACTTTAAAGTAAAAAATCAAATGGCAGTTAATAATAGTTTGAATAAAACAAATATACAGCTATTTCTTATCTAATGAAATTGCAGAATATCCATTTGTCATAATGCAATAACAAAATTACATATAATCTGAATTTTATGAAAAAGTTTTTTATCACTTATATATGCATTTATTATACATAATATTTTATGCTTGGGTAGACATTATATATGCAGCTTTGTACTACTAAATTTGCAAATATATATAAAGCACGTAATACAATTTGTAAATGTATGTATTAAGTAAAACATTT